TTTGATCAAGAACATATTACTATTGAATTCATCATCCATTTTCAGAGATTAGCTATTTCAAATTGTTAATAATTTTATCTTTATAGATTATTATTTCTTAGATGTAAATACAATATGGTCAAATTCAATGGGAGAAATTTTTGAAACTATTATTTATTGATTTGTTTGGTTTTTGAAATATTTGTGAATGATTAAAATATCAAAATCATGTACAAAACTAAAGGATTTTTCATATTGAATGAAGTATTGAGTTATTTATTAATGAGAAAATGTTGTCATATTGTAGTTGAAAATTGATTATCACTATTAATGTTTTGAATAATTTCTTCAAATGTACCAATACATGTTTTCAAGCTTCCTGACAATTCCTACAGTTCAATTGTCGAATAGTTCATTTGAAACCTTCGAGTTAGACATTTATGAACTGTCGAACCCGACATTTATGAACGTCGAGATAGACAATTTAACAATCGAATTCGACACTTGAAAACTGTTGACGCCCTTGAATTTACATTCTGCTACTCTATGAATTTAAATATTCGAATGCTCCACTTTCATATTATTAATGTGGACATATTTATTGTGCAGAATTCTTAACATTGCAATCCCAACATTTTAGGTATGAATAATCATTTGAGATTCATCGTCTCCCAATTTCGAAATAGTTTATTCATATGAATGACCAATGGAAGTGGAGAGGGGACAAAACAGGTTGAACGGTTTGGTGCTTCTCGTGGATGAGCCAATTATGGAGAATGCAAACATAATGGACATAACACTGCATAACATCCCGACAATTCATCCGTCGTTCCAGACAAATTGTTTCTGTCGTTCTCGACAATTGGCACAGACCCATTATGGAGAATGTAAACGTAATGGGTAAAACTGCTTTTGTATGTTAGTAGTATATAGTATCACAAAACTTAAAGTGTAAATCATAATGAAGTGATCTCATGCTATAATGAACTTCTTGGATGGAAGCAACTAGGGTTATTTACTACCTAACCACCAAGTTACAGCTCAAACTTGATAGACAATTGAATTGATGGTTTAGGGTCTAATTGTACCTTTATGACCTAAATTGGTTCCTTAATTTATGACAATTGTAAATCTTAATGGGTGTGTACCATTTTCTCTTCAAAAATCCTACATATAGTTGTTGGCAATCAATTTTCATTAGTACATTCATATCTTAAGATGTTGAATCACTGCATTACGACATTCGAACCACAAAGCAGTACCCCAACTTTAAACAACATGGATAACATTGACAACATTTTGCCATACACATAACAACATTTATTCATCCATGCACGATCCATAGGCCCTAAATCTAATTCAACATTAGTATAACAATTTTCTTTCTACTCTTACACAATTCCCAAGTGTCAAACTGACAGAAATTGAAGCTACTAACGAGAAGATTATACATTAATATTTTCCAAAAATATTGTTACATGCGAAGCCCCAATTTGAGATCTACCCTTCCATGCAGTCCCTATGACATCTTGTAGATCCTCCTCCGCGTAGATCTCATTCAGAGCTTCATTCACAACAAAGCACGACATTGCTCCTAGCAAGATGCAGGTGGCCAGCGTAAACGAAAATTCATACGTAAATTAGTGTCTCAATAAAGTTTATGACTGACATTGAACATAGTTTCTACATACATCGAATCGTATGCACATCATCCACGAAAGGCACAAAATCACATTACACAGTTCGAGTGGTAAATGGACAAAATGTATTACAGAAATTGATGCAAGTGCACTGTCAAATATTGACTCATTCATAGTATGTTAACACATGATCGACTCACTTATTTCTTTATTCTCTTCATCTCTCTAGTGTACGGAATCCTGGTAGATACTGCAGGCAGTCGAAGGTGTGTCATCGCCGCCTCTTTGTGTGAGCCACATCATTTCCGTCTTCGGGTATGGTGGGCGCAACCGACAATTCAGTTGCACCGCCTACGCAAAAGTACGATGAGCTGAAATTCATAGTCAACAATAGCTTCCATGTTTACATTTATCAAATGTAGTCGGGATTTAGACATATTATAACTTCTGCAATGGTCCAAGATCCTTTTTACGTACTTAAGGTTGCTTCGTTGCCAAATGTGAGCTTGCAATCGTGCATTTTCCAGAACGAGGAATTCGAAATCCATCTCTTCAGCAAAGTACATCGAGAAAGCAAAAAAAAATATCAGAACATAATATTTGGTACATGTTGATACCAAGGTGTAACAACAAATTAAGAAACACAATTTAACGAAATAATACGAAGATCATATAACGAAATAAAATGAATATCATGTAATACGAAAATCATAAAACACGAAACAGTATATTACAAATCTACAAAATAATTGAAAAAATTGTGGTTCACAATATTTCGTACATGTTAATGTGAAACATACATATTATGTTCGAATGAACCAATGTTCGACATGTGGAACTGTCATGTGTCGAGAAAAATTGACCACAGTTCATCGTCGGGTTTCGACAGTTCATCTGTCGATATTTTCCATCTGCCGATAATTACTACGGTTATGCCATTTCTCTACTGAAGTGAACTGTCGGGAAATCTACTTTTGACCTCTAAGTAAATAGGTATTATTCAAGAGCTAATTTCATTCCTAAATGTAGAACAAACGTGACATTTTCCTCGTACAAACACTCGTCTTGTAAATACAAAAATTCTAATTCCTCCCAATACTTGTAATAATGCAAATGTTAATTAATGTAATCAATTCAATAACACTTCCAAATTTAATCAGTGAGCATAATTTTCAATAATCTAGTCCAATTTCTTGCAATGCATGAATTTCAATTTATACTTGACTATAGGCACTTTCCCTTGATTGTTTTTTATGTCGCTCATTTATGTTTTGATCATTAGGAGATAAATTTTAGAATTACAAAGGGGTAGTAGAATCATCTTTACTATGTGCATTCCTAATAACCAATTACAAAAGAACAACTAACAAAAACATGAAAAATCTTGAGTCTACTGTTTCGCCCCTTCCCACTCAACACTCAGTTTTCGTTTGCGATAATTTTTTTCTTTTCCTTCAATTTATATAGCAAGTAAAGTATTTACAATCATCTGATCAAATTGACCAGTCCTCTCCACATAGTAGGAGCCAAATAGACAACGAAAATATCAAGACGATATTATAAAGCAAATACAAGACAAGATAAACAATTAAACTTCTTCTACATTATAGCATTGACTCTATAAAAACAAGTAAATGTAAGGTACATTATTAATATAGCCGATCGTGAAACTACCTTTACTTCTTCTTAATTCAAAAATCATAAAGTAACACCCAATTTACCTACAAGTCAAAAGACATTTTCACTTAGAAGGCTGAACATAATCACCATTGAGAAGGTAAAAATACATGATCATGTAATACATAATCACCACCTCTGTTTTGAATTTTGATGAAGTTCTCAAACTAAATCTCACATATCACAAACACAATTCACAAAACAAATATCCAAAACAAATTTACAAATTACATATTGACAAAATCACAAATTCAAGAGAGCATCAAAATGACCAACAGGTTACAGAAGCAGACGGATTCAACCATTCAAAAATCACAAATTCATCGGTTCTAAGATTCATAAAATCATATATTCATTGTTCATAGGCTCAAATATAAATTACTAGAAATGAGTCACCAGACGAGAGAAAAATCACAAAATCAAAAATGTTAATGTACTAGCCCTATCACTCCGTTTAGGGCTTGAACCGTTACTGACAGACGGCTGTGAACGATGGTAGCAAATAACAACGACGAGAAACGGGAGTAGTCTGATTCGTTTGCGATTTTCCTTTCCGATCGAATAATCGCCAGCAAGAAGGAGTCAAAGACAGGGTTTTTGAACACTATCCTAATCAATGAAAAGAAAAAAAATATTTGAATTCTAAATCGTGGCTAAGATCCAAATAAATTAAACAAGCATACGAAATATAGATATAACAAATACGCGCAAAAATGGCCCTCTTTCGGTATGAAAGTGTTCGACGGAGAGAGGTGGAGGGAGACGTGTAAGGGCTTATCCGCTTATCAGGAAGTTGACAAAGATCCAGAGAAATTGACGGGTTCTAGGGTTTTTTTGGGAATGAATGTCCAAAGAAAATGAAATAGGCCAATGAATGGAAACGTGGTTTGGTTTTGGGTTTCACAATTTTTTTTTTTCCAAAATTTTCAAGGACAATTGTGATGTGATTGGTTTTCAATTTTTTCCACTTTTTGTACAATTTTTTTGAGTTGTCCACTCAATAATGTGTTGGGTATTTAAATTCT